TTTCTTTAAAATAAAAATAACTGATGTCAATAAAAAAAAAACACCAAATTGGCAGGACAATTTCAATAATTAACACATTGCATGCTATTTAATCAATATTTCATGAGTGATTATGTTCACAAAGTTATTGGTTGACCATGGTTTTGTCCTACTTCATTCCCACGTTGCAATTTCTCCTTTTTCCCCACCTTGGACCTGTCTTATTTTGTGGTGTTGCTCTACCCACATTCCCAGGAAAGGAAAGGTTCTCAGCTACCCAGTTAGAACCCCTCCTGTCTCTCTTTCTCAGACAAATCCTTTCTTCCCCAGTAAATGTATTCTGCTCTTGCTCTCCATTAGTCCTAGAATTTATTCTTCAACTATTGAGAACATAAATTCTTACAGAACTTCAACCATGTTGGAAGCTTCTTTCCCATGTGGCATTAGGATTGGCAAGAACGTACAGTGCTTTACATAAAATAATTATGGAAAATCTTTCATTACTTGTTCAATTTTGAATGTGCATTATGCAGCTTAGGTCATTATCTTAACTAAGAAGGTGAACACTGGTGTTCACCAACATTTGAGAAAGTATTCACTGTTTGCTAAGTATGTGATAAAAGCCTTAGTAATTGGACTTCTGACTCAAATAGAATTTGAACCTGGGCTTTATCTCAGCTGTGCCAAGTCATGGTCTGACAAGTTGCCAGTATGTCTAGGTGATGGGTGACCTATTCGATCATGATGGTTATCAGGCACAGTGTGCCCTGCAGTGAATCCCACCCAGCGGCCCAGGAGTTATGGTACACAGAGAGAAAACAAAAGAACAAGAGACAAGAATTACAGGGAAACAAAGTTCTGGCATGATCGCTGTTCTCTGGGAACAAAGACGGAGGAGCTCCAGCTAGATACCGCTTCATTAGCCAGTGCAGTGGGAAGGGTACAGTGATGGACCTGAACAGCATAGATGTAGGGGCTCAATAAGAAAATTGAAGAACATGAAAGAAACAAGTTCAGGTCCATCCCTGGTCACTCATTTTCCCTGTATTGTCCTCAGCAGAATTCCTCCTGCACTGTAAGCCCCACAGTCTCATTGACCATCAAGATCTCAGCAGTGAAAAAAACAAAAAAAAAAACCGATCTCAGCAGTGAGAGAGAGGAAGTGGGATTTCCACATTCCAAGACCACTCACAAGGCAGGGTAAGGAGGCTTCTGACAGGCTCTGTGTCAATTTATAATTTATGGCCCATCTGTTACACCTTTTGGAAATGGAAAAGGTAGCACTCCTTCATAGGACTGGGTGACAGAATGGGTTCTGAAATTGAAGCTCTGGGTATGTTAGTTTTCTTATTCTTTTTTTTTTTTTTTTTCTGTATTTTAGGAAGTGTCCACAGGGTGGTCAGGGCATCACTACTAGATTGAACTCATAGTGATTCTCCTGCTTACAGCCTCCCCAGTGCTGGGATTATAGGTGTGCACCACCACACCCAGTCTCATTCACAGTCTCAGCACACCCCTGGGTGGGGCCTGCACACAGGCCTGGGAATCAAACCCCCTTCCCCTGTGCCTGCTTTCAGGCGCTTTAATCTGCTGAGCTATTTGGTGGGCCCAGTTTTCTTATTCTTTACCAGATCAGGAAGGATACTTATTTTTAATATAATGTGAGACTGAAACTATTGAAAATACCTGAAGTTTTATAATTCAGTATATTGAAAAGCACTTTGCTATATTGTCCCTTTGTTTGCAACATCCTTCCCAACATCCTTACCACTTTCTGAAACAGCTCTGGAAGGCCTCTTTTGTGAGTGTCCTTACTCACACTGTCTGGGCTCAGTGGATGTTGTGAATCAATTCAAAATATTTATCTTTCATGATCATTTTCAGTATTGGCAAGAGCCCGAGTTTCCCCAGTAGAAAAATTCAGTGACTAGAAGGATGATCACACTCCATAAACTTTTTTTTTTTCAATCTTGTATTTATTTATTTGTTTGGTACTGGGTCTCACTACACAGCTCAGACTCCTAGTGATCCTTCTGTCTCAGCCTGGCCAGCACTCAGCCTACCCACCACACCTGGTTTCAGCAGCTGGCATGCAGCAGATTCTGGGGCCCATGTGGCAAGCAGGACCAGGGATCTATCCCAGGATCTTGTGCTCGCCAGGCAGGTGTTTAGACAGCCCAGCCATCTCCCCACCCCCATAACCTTTTTCTGAGCCTGCCTTTCCATTGCACGCCACTGAGCAGCATGGATGGTATATATGATCACAGTTCTTGAAGACACACATGAAAAGCTGCCAGGATTGGTTCAGAATGTGTTGAGAAAGATGGGATAAGTATGTTTAAAGCAAAGGGAGGGTTTATATGAGAAGTTATTGCCTATGTATATTTGACTGAAATAAAATTCTAATTTAAATATTCATTGTATATTTAAATTCCACTACATATATATTAAAAATAATTTTTAAATGAGGAAACAGAGACATGACCTTTAAAGTAATTATCTCACATCACCCAATTAATACCTGCAGGACTAGACCAAACCATTCTAAATACTTCGCTACGTCTTTGAAACACTGTATGTGCACCACAAATTGGCATTTGAGGGTTAGGTCTTAGCCTTCAGATGTAAACAGAGCTAGGTGAACCCCAGGCTCACAGGTCATGAGGAAAACATAGAACAACTTCAGAATAACAAAGACAAAATCAGACCCAAGGCGCATGGGCTGTTCAGTACCAGGGTAATCTCCAGGGTAAGTGAAGGGACAACACTTTCCCACCACATTTGAAAGAAGCTGCAACCTACCTCCCAAGCATCCAAGAATGTTGTTTTACTGAGGATTATATTGCCTTTCTCGTCTTTGGGGAAAATATCCTTTCCCGGCTGTAAATGCACAACAAAGGTTATTGTTACTTACATCTGGATATTGGTCTTGCTAAACAAGGTTCGGTATCCTGACTCATGCTAGAGACTGAAAAAGTATGAAGCATTTGCTCAAGCTCTACAGAATATACTCCAAGAGCTTCAGTAAAATCTCTAAATCAGTATGTCATGCTATATATGTTTTACATTTTAGAAATTTCTGGAGTGATTTTTTTTAAATTTATTTATTTATTTATGTGTGTGTGTGTGTGTTGTGTGTGTGTGTGTGTGTGTGTGTGGCCGGCTGGCATGTGGTGCTGGGGGATTGAACCGTGGTCCCCATGCTTGGCTAAGCTTGTTCTAAGTAGGTGCTTTAGACCACTGAGCCATCTCACCAGCCCCTCTGGAGTGATTTTAAAGCTTACTCACAGTATATTCTCAAAGCCTTCATTATCATCATTATCCTCATGTACTTTGTTATGAGCAGCTCTTCCTGAGCAGACCCCTGACCTGAGTTCAATTCTCTCCAGGAGGCCACCCCAGGTGTGCTCTGGTTAACAGGAGAGTGGAGCGCTGAAGTACTGCCATGCAAGAGTGTAGCAAGGCTTCTTGCTGACCCCAAGACAAAGTTGAGGCAGCAGTACAAGGTTGTCCTCACTGCCAAAAATTATCATTTGTGGCCATGTGAGGGAGCGCAGGTGGCCCAGTTTGTTTTGTAGACTGCACAAGAGCTCCTGTGTGACTCATGCTGCCCAGGGCTAGTGCAGCTGTTCTTTTCTAGCAGCTCTCTACATAGCATCTTGAGGTTGGGGCAGGCAGAAACTCAAACCTGAAATCCCTGGGGCCAGTGAATGAGGTACAAGTCCAGGTAGTCCAGTTTCAGGTCATTCAGGGTCTTCTGGAAGGCTTCCTTTGCCAGGCTTCTCTCAAAGCATGTGGACCACAACTGTACAGTGCAGCAAAGAGACATGAGGATGGGAGAGAGAAAGGCCCACGCTATACTCTTGCCCTCTGCTTTCAGAATTGCAGGCTCATCTCACCTGTTCCTGGGCCCTTTATAGCCAAGTTGATTAGTGTACATGTTTCAGTGTGCAGCCACGAAGGCTGAGCATGACAATGACTTTTCTCAGTTGAGGGCAATTCTTTGTTCATTGCTCTTAGCATTCTGTGTGTCCCTTAAATCATTTAGCACCTGTGGCCGCTGCCTAAACCTTTGGGAACCTCAGCTATTCCCTTTGTTGGCTGCTGGCCTCTGAGGGCAGGGATTATATGGAGCTTCCAAATGTTAAGCTTTCTTCTACCATTGGCATCATGGCCCTGTTCTGCACTCCCATTGCCCAAGCCTACCAGGAACTTTCCAAGGAGTTTATCCAGATGTTTCTCCTGCACACAGTAGGTATATTTCACCCACAAGGGTGCATTTTGCAAGAACACAGAAGTAGTATTTTTTGGTATATTTTATACCACATAGATCCAGTGATTTTTTTAAGCACATCACACACAATATTCTTTCCCTTCTATTTTACCACTTTCGTCATTATTTTATTTGTACTTCACACAAATTTTAAAATTTTTTTGTTATAATTAAAAAAATACTCTTACCAATTCCCCTAAAAAACTTTGGCTGACACCTGAGGGCCAGGACTGCTGAGACCACAACGCTGAAAGGTGGGCTGCAGATCCATTCCTGACTCTAACCTCTGACACCCCTAGGCAAATAGATCACTTTGACAGGAAAGGGTGAAGCCCAGGTTGCAGAAGCTCAATGGGGCCATCCACACTAAGGGAATCCAACTTCTGGGAAGGTTGAGCATCCATAACTTCTTCCACATATCAATAAGAGTTCAATGTATAAATGTCTATATTCTGATATAATAAATACAGAGAGAGCGAAATGGGGACCTAAAGGAAATGCTGAGGAGGTACAGAACACATGAAGGCCTCCCCCATCGGCGCTGCACTGTTACCTTGCTAACAATGAAGAGGTCCTCCCGCTTCACAGCCTTCTCTTGGATCTTCTCTTGGATGGCTTCGCCCACCTCATTCTCATTCTGATAGGTGTAAGCACAGTCAAAGTGGCGATACCCTGCATCAATGGCTGCCTTCACAGCTTCTTTGACCTTGCCTGGGGCAGACTGAGAGACAACAGAGAAGTCATCAGGTCCTTTTATCCCAGGACCTCCTCGACGGGGCTCAGCATGACTCAGCTTCCTACACTGAGTCTCTCTGGTCTTATTTTGGGGCCAGTTTTTAGGCAAACATTTTAGAAAAATTTTCAAATGAATAGAAAAAGATGAGTTGATTTAATGTTTATGACTTGATAATTCAACCTAGGTAAAAGTCAATTCCACTTTAGCAAGCTCATCTTGAATTATGTGCAATTGGCTGAACTATTGACAGGTAAATGGCACTACAATTGGTAAACACCAGGATGAAAGAAGACTGTGAGGAATCCCAGAAGAATTTCACACCCAAACTGCTCATAAGAAGGTTAGAAATGGTCTTCACATTATGAATCCATACTTCTCTGCCTCACAGATGTACAGGTTGGAGCAGACTCCTCCATTTCTCCAAATCCTACCTGCATTGGGCCTGTTGGTGGATCCCTGGCGTCCCAGCACCACAGAGGATGAAGCAGAAAGATCCCTGCCAGTTTGAGGTTGGCTTGGGGTGCATAGTGAGTTCCAGGCCAGCCTGGACTACACAGAAAGACCCTGTCTCAAAAAGAAAAAATGTTCTGCCTGCAAAATGGGCACAGCAGGACTAGGGAGACAGCACAGCAGCATAAATGCCTGCCTGGCAAACACAAGGTCTTGAGTTCAATTCCCAGTACCAAAAAAGCCCCAAAAAGTAAATATGGGAGCAGCAGTGTCCCAGCTTCATGACATCCTTGCGTTGGTTATGTGTCACCTCACACCAAGCAATAAGAAGTAGTAGATGTGAGCCATTATATAATTATCACTTCAGACAACAGATGTAGGGGCCGGGGAGATGGCTCAGTGGAATAAGCACTTCCCTGGAAACCACAAGGGCCTCAGTGCAATCCTTGGTTCCACCAAAAAAAAAAAAAAAAAAAAATCAGATAACAGACAGAGAAAATTTTATAAGCATAGAATTTGGGCCCGTGGATTTAGCTCAGTTGTACAGAGTGTGTTTGGCAAGTGTGGAGTTCTGATTTCAATTCACAGTACCCACCCCAAACAAATCTGCTTAGTTTTCCACTACCAATAGATGGAAACATATATTACACTTTTGTCTAACTTACTCATGTCTAACAAAGAGGGAAAATCACTTAGAAATGATCCCTCACAGATGTCAAACTTCTGCAGTTGTGAAGTACCGAACTACTGCAAGGTAAATAAAGCTATATAAGTACTGCGATAGCAAGTTGATGCCAGTACATCTGATGTACCCAGGACACGCCTTACAAAACCACTACAGCCTCCTTTCCCTCCCCTACTAGGTTCATAATCTTCTTGAAATGGCATCATTCACATGATGTGAAAATAATTCTCATAATCTGTATAATTACTTTTGAAATTTTCAAAATTAGTTTCTAGGAAATATATCCAGGATGCTGATATTTACTGTAGATCCGAGATCTGTTATCACTTCTAAGGTTAAAAATATTATTTGAGATAATTCTTGCAATACATGCAAAGAGGCAGAGACTGAAGTAGGATGGCATTGATAAGTCCACCCACGTTGAGCAAGAGTGTGATCTTAGAGTCCATAAACCTAGAGCTGAAAGGAAGAGGGTTCTTCAACCAGGAGATTAGGATGTGGCAAAGTGGCTGGACATGTGGGTGTGACCTGTTGATCAAGGAGATCCGGAGACATGATCTTGACCCTGTTCCTGGAACTATTTGAAAAGTGCTATTGCAAATTTTTCTCCCACAACTCAAGCTGGTCTTTGATATGTGGCTTAGATCTGACATCAGCCTGAGGAGGAGGGGATATAAAAGAGGGCCACCGATAAGTTGGTGGGCAGCGTTACCTCTTTCAGTGGGACATCCTTCACTTTGCATGGTCTAATTCTTTTCTTGTTTTAATTGTTCCTCACTCACTCTGCACAGTATATTTATTTTCCTATTCTTAATATCTTGAATAAATACACAACTTCACTACTTTTTGCTTTTCTTCACCAATTATTTCTTTAGCACAGAGAGAATGTAGAAGTCACCTCTAGAAGGAGACCACAGCACTCTACAACCCAGCAACCATCCCTGCATTCATCACCAGAGATGAGAAAGAGAATTTAAAAAAAAAAAAAAAAGAGGAAAGAGAGCTACTGCTGAAAGACAACAGAAGTGAAGCCAAAGGGACAGGAGAGAAGATGGAATCTGCAGATGGCTCCCGGAAGCTAACTTAGGTGATGCAGTCACAGAGGATCATGAATTCTCTTCGCAGGGTGCTGGGGTGTGCCTTTGAGCATTTTCAGGTTCACATTAGCACTGCCAGGGCTGGAATTGACCTTCTGACTCCTGGCCCAGGCTTCTGTGGTTCCAGGACTCCTGAGACTTTAATAGCCAAGTGAGGATATTGGTTAAGTGCAGGTATTGATCCAGTAGCATGGGATGGTTCTGAGATTCTGTGCTCCTAACAATCACAGAGGCCACAATGTTGCTGCTGGCCCAAGTCTCACTGTACAAAGAACAAGAGTTGCCAGGGATGTTGGTGTTCTTTGTTCTTTCTCAGTCACTCCACCAGCAGGAATCCCACAGCCAAGAACTGTAAAATGCCCAAACCCAGAAGTTCTCCAGGATCAGCCAGTGTTTTAGAGAAAGAGAGGGCGAAATAGTAACTGTTCTACAAACAAATTTGTCTTCAACACCTCCCCAAAGCATGGTACTTGCCAGGGAAACTCACCACCATTAAGAAAAGCCAGTCTTGGTGATCTGCAACCTAAATTAGCCCTAAAACAGGAAAGCAGCTGAGGGACTGGCTGGAGGGCTGAAGTGCACCTCTCAGTCCCCCAGGTGTAACTGACTGCAGAGAAGAGAAAGTCCCCCCAAAATCTTCTAGGGAAGCAGGGGCTGCAGGATTTGCAAATTTACCTCCCAGGTCCCCAGGCCTATAATGGGCATCTTGGCTTTGGTGCTGAGCTCCAGAAAAGTCGCCATGTCTGGTGCAGAAGGGTTGTGAGAGAGCAGATGAAGAGCACAAGAATGTGAGCTGCTCCAGGAAGCACTTGGGTCCTGCTTATGAGGCTGACTGGGCTGCTGAGGGAGGAGCCAGCACTGCTCAGGCCTAAACTAGAACAGGAAGTGCATTCTTTCCAGTCTTTAGTGAGCTTGATTGATGTAAGTTAATTATTAGAGATAATGACCCCATAGAAGTTCTTTCTCCTCCAAAAGGCATGAATTACTCTCTGAGCATTATCTAAGAGTTTGGCCACCAAAATTCCTTAATCAATATTTTCCAGTGATTAAGCTTTTGGGGTTCAGACAATGCAGTGAGAACCTGCATACTGTAGTGAACTTTGCGAGTATTTGAGAAAGCTGGGGCAGGAAAATTTTCAGTCGCAAAAAAAGAGGATTAAATAAATTATTTGGAGATAATTATCCTTGACTGTATGAAATAATCATTCAAGTATATGTGCCCCATTACCGTCTTTTTTTTCTGATCAAATGTGGGTTTTTAATTTATTTTGTGTATTTATTTTATTTATTTTATCTCATTACATGGTCAAGTCTTGTCCCAAACTTGTGACCTTGTCCAATCTGCCCCCACAACCTTCTAAGTACTAGTACTATACTTTCTCAGCCTACTTCTTTTTATTTAAAGAAAAACAAATTTATTATTAGGAGCACTTTTAGGTTTTTAGAAAAATATTGATGTATTTTTTTATATATATACAGGATCTCACTACACACCTCGATTCCTAGTGATCCTCCTGTTTTCATCCTCGCCAGTGCTGGGATTACACACATGTGCCATGAAATCTAGACATGCCTGCTGGCTCTGCACCCTGTGGTAAGATTGGTGTGGCCTGTGATGGCAGGGATCGAATCCTGATCCCTTCACTTGCCGAAGCAGGCGCTGAGTCTGCTGATCTATCTCACCAGCCCTGTGTAATATTATTCACTGAAGGCCATCAATTTTACTGAGGCTCATGTTTTCTGTTGGTTTTAATAAGTGTCTAGTGATATAAGTCCATGACTATCATAACAACCAGAAGAGTCTGGTTGTCCTGAAAACTGGCTGTGCTCTACCTGTTCATCATTCCTGTGCTTTCTCTGAGCTCTCCACAATCAGTGATCTATTAAAGTCTTCATAGTTGAGATGACACAATACGAAGCCTTTTCAGATTTACTTCTTTCACTTACCAGTATGCATTTAGGGTCCTCTATGTTTTTTGTTTGCCTGTTTTTAGGCTTGATAGGATATTTTCCTATTTTCTGGTTGCCCTGATGATGGTACTATGTGCTCCCAGTGGCCTAGCTGAAAGGGGGAGCACAGTCTGGTTTAGGCTGAGCCTGTCACAGTGATATGGAAGTGTGATCATCTGATCCTGGTTAAAGCTGTTGAGTTTTTTTTATTTTTTAATCTCAATGGGATTTCTTTTTTTGGTATACATAATCTTTATAATTTTCATATTGTTCTTTAGCCAGATGGTCTTGTGTCAGACCAGAATTTTTTTTTGCAGATATCAGGTTTCTGGGTAACAGCAGTAACTTTTGACATATTGTTGGCCTTTTCACTCACCTCTCTGATGCATGACTTAGTTGTTTCTAGGTTGGGTGACCTTTAGGAAAGGCCATGACAACTCATTTGTTAGGGCTCACAGTCCAATATTTTCCTAACTCAAAATGTGGAAGGCAGAAAGAATTGCTGATAGTGGGTGTTAGATGATGCCATCTGCCCAGGATAGGAAACAGAAAGCTAAGAAGGAGAACCTCTGTGGATGAATGCAGGCAGTGACTGGCTGGGGCCAGCTCAATTGGCTGGAAGTAGATGAGGAGTCAGGAGCAGCCAGTAAACCTATAGACATCGACAGCAAGTGAAGTGATCAATGAGGGTACCAAGGCAGAATTTTCAGGAAGAATGGGACTCTTCTTTCCTTCTTTCTTTTTTTCTTTGAGACAGCAGAGAATGGTTTGATTTCATTTTTAACTCCATAAAAGCCCTTTTATGTAGTCAGGACCTGTGGGTTTTGACTAATTAGTTCCCACATCTGACTTCCAACATATGGCTTGTGTTCCTTTCAATGATGGTGTAACAGATACAGTGGCTGTCAGAGAGAGAGAGAGAGAGAGAGAGAGAGAGAGAGAGAGAGAGAGAGAGAGAGAGAGACCTGGCTAGCATCCCCCCTCAGGGGGATTTAGGTACAACTTAGCTAAGGAAAGGAGGGAGTGAGGCCTCCATTAGGTCATATATTGATTGCCACAGAACTGCAGGTGAGGGCCCAACCAACCACGGTGACCACTGCTCCCCAGTCTTGGTGCACAGATGGAGTAACCTATTGTTGATGCTGTCCATGGAACTCACACATTGATTCAACAGGCACTCAGAGGTTAAGGCATTCCAAGCCTCTTCCCTCAAGAGTGGCCCTGACAAACAAGAGGTGATCAGGCTCTCCTTATGCTCAAGCTGAGTAGGACTGACCTAAAAACTAATTGGAAGCCCTTGAGGGTCTTAGCAGAATCAGGCAGGCAGATAGGTAGGCAGGTGTACTGTCTTCCTCTCTTCGGGGTCCCATGTGAAAAGCTCAAAGAGGAAGCAAGGAATCCTCCTCCACACATCTGAGGAGACTCAAGAAATCTCAGAGGCCTTCCCACTGGGATCTGGAGAGGTCCTCGCTTCATCCTCAAAGGCCACAACTAGTGACTGAAGAGGTCAGCACAGTTGTTCTTCCTGGCTAACACACCAGATGCAGTGGCAAGCAGAAGCAAAACAACACCTAGGATTTGGAGGCAGATTTATTTTAAGTTAGATAGATATTGACAGGGGACCAATTGTCCCTCAAAATGCCAGGCCTCAAAGGCTCAGAAAGGGATGCTTTTATAGGTTATGCAAGGGGAGTACAAAGGCAGAGTACTTGGTTGTCTTTGATTGGTTCTTATAAAATGCATCACAGTGACTAGCTCTTTCTAAGAAACAAAATTAATAGGAACTGTAATCAGAACTGTTACCTGGGCAATTAACACACTGGCTAGTGGAAATTTTCTGCTATAGAACTACAGAAATAAAGAATTCAAGTCTTATTATTCCTAAAGGCAACTATATTAATTTTCTAATATTACTAAGAAGTTGTTATCACTGTTTTACCTAGTAACCAAATTACTTCAGAGTTCCATAGGTCAGGAATCTGGCCAAAAGTATAGTAATCTGATTCCAGATTTGTGACTAATCAGTCAAAGTTTGTTTTGACAAAACCTAAATCTCATTATTTCTTCAAGTAAGGATATCTATAAAAGATCCAGGCATGTGAGAAAATTGCTAAAGTTTGTTTTATACACAGAGTTTTATATTTTACCATCACATCAGTTCTCTCATATGATCCTTACTCTTTCATCTCTGGAAGATGACAAACAATCATCATGCCTAGTTCTTTTGGATGGTTCTAATTTTCTGAGGGTAGTATTTTAGATTCTAGCCTTCAGGCTTATAAACACCATCACTTGATTTTGTCAGATTATCCAGAGTAGATAGGGCCTTCTCATTATATTCACATGAGATCAAGTACTTAAGCCTAGTACCAGTTTTAGAATTTGCAGTGGGGCAGAAATAGTTTTCAAGTGATTAGAGCTTTATGTCTTATATAGTCATGTGTTGGTATCTGGAAATTTAGAAAGCTAAATTAATAATCTAGAGATTTCTTGGACATGAAGAAATGAACACAGAGGGCTCTGTTTGGCTGAGAAATAATTCTTGTAGTTTACTAGTTCTACTTACCTAATATTTTACTAGTTCTACTTACTTACCTAATGTTTTAGTAGTTCTACTTACTTACCTAAT